CCTGGCGTGACAGCTGGCAATGAGGCTGATGCACAAATGGGCAACCCAGAAGGATCTTTCTCTTCCTTTTTCATTCCTCCAAGCTTGTTCTTTCAACTTGGGAAGCCAGATGCTCTGGAGTTTAATTACACACTGCAGTTGGAAGCCCAGAATGTCAGAGCTGGAAAGGAAAGGATCGTGTTATAAATAAGCGCTACCAGCATTTATTGAGCACTTACTCTGTGCCAGGCGCTGCTCCAGGCCTGTTTCCAGACTTTACCTGATTTAACCTTTCCACCACGTCTAGGAGGCAGGTACCTGTTCTACAGGGAAGGAAACTGAGGCTTAAGGGAAACTATAGGGGATTTCCCAAATTGTGCTGAGTGGTGAATAGTGGCACAAAATATCAGTTGGTGTTAGGGAAAGAAAAAGTTCCATCATCAAAGCCCGAGTATCTCCTGTATCATCCTGTATCTCCCATAGGGACTTCATGAGACATACCCACATACTAAACACCCTGAGGGGTCCTGCAGTAAAGAAACCTATCTAGGCCAGTGTCTCCTCTATTGTGGGCCTCACAGAACTTCTGATCCAAGAAGCACAGCTTGGGGAACGCAGAGAGTGGCCAACCTCCTCATTTGGGGTAAGGAGACCCACGTAGAACTTTAGGGACAGACCAGGAGAGAACTCTGCCTCATGGTTTCCTGTGCATGGAGTTGGGGAAGGCAGACTATGGCCCATTTGGCCCATTGATCTGTTTGGGGAAATTATGTCTTACTGAAGATTTTCTGATCAAGTTCCCTTGGCTAACGGACGGTTGACCTGTCCAAGATCACACAGCCAACGAGGGGTAGAGTAAGAAATAGATCCCAGCTCACTGAAATCCAAATATCCTCTAAAACACACATCAGACAGGTGGCAGGAAGTTGGGGTATGAAGTCCCACTATACCTGTGATACTTGTCTCTGTTCCCCACTCTGTGGTACTTAACCTGCATTGTCCTCTTTCCACTCCTGAAGAGATCCCCTCACATGCATTTCTCCTGCCAATTTGGATACTCACTCCCCATACACAAAGCCTGGCCGAGCCTGCAGTGGCAATCTCACTGGGGGCAAAGGCTGAACAGGGCAACTTGTGTTTATTTTAATTCTGTAACCAGATGCAGTAAAATGTCATTAACTCCCCCTCTGCCAATGTGAAACGTGAGACCATTTGGACAGGAACTGGGCAGAAGGCAACCTTTGCCTGTTCCAGGAAGAGCTTGCCAAAAAATGAGCAGCGTAAACAGGAACAGAGGGGGGTTGTTGGAAACCACTTCACAAAATAAATTCTGTTCAAGGGCTCTGGGGCATCCCTGCCGCACACTGTCATAAGATGAATGTCCATTTACATTTTTCTAATGAGTGGAGGGAGTTACTGTGGAATACGCAAGTAAAATCATTCTTACCTCTTCATTAAAAGAGCTCATGAAAACAGCACTTTATTAACCTTGTTTAAAATATGAACAAAATTTTAAATATCTGTGAATGAGCCAGGTGCAGTGGCACACACCGGTAACCCCAACTATTCAGGGGCCGAGGCAGGAGGATCACAAGTTCAAGGTCAGCCTTGGTAACTTTGCAAGACTCTGTTTCAAATTTTTAAAAAGTAAGGTGGGTTGGGGATGTATGTAGTTCAGAGGTAGAGCATTTACCTAGCATATGTGAAGTCCTGAGTTCAATCTCCAATATCACACACACAAAGAGTATTTCTTTTTAAAGCTGTGGATGTAGACATTTTAGTTTCCATAGGTCCATCCAGCCATTGGTACTAATTAGGGAGGTTTTACCAACCTCTGGTTCTGGGACAGGGAGATGTCATGTTGACCCTGATGGCCCAGCCATGCCACAGGGCTAAAGGTTCATTTAGAAACAGCTGCAGAGACAGCAGGGCGTACAAGCCTCTGGGTGGCAGGCCCTCCCGGGGAGTCAGACTGCCCAGATGGCCCTTCCAGAGCCTGGGGACGCTGACTGTCACTAAGGTAAAGGGTAAAAATAGTCCCGTGTGGGCGGCAGCTGAGCCCAGAGGCACCTGCTTTCTTGTCTCTAGAGAAGGAGAGGCAACCCAGTTATCAGACGTTTCATTGGGTTCCTGAGACCCCCCACCCCTGGCCTCAGGGGCTTCTAGTATTTCCCTAACCATGAAGTACTCCCCCCACACATATACCCACCCCCACACACCAAGCACTGAAGAGTTTGGGCTTGGTTGTAAGATATCTGATGGTTTAAATCCTGGCTGTGCCCTTTACTGGCTCTCTGTGACTTCGGGCAAGATTTTTTCCTTTCTGAATCTCCATTTTTCTTGACTGTCAAATGGGACTGAGGATTTTTTTTTTTTAACAAGGCTTTCTATAAAGATTAAATAACAACTACAGCTAACAAATTTCATTCTGCAGCCTTACTGTTCCATCCCTCTCTTTTCCTCACATTCTAGCACATTCTTCAAGAGTGACATGGGGTTGGGGAGGGCAGGGGTTGTAGCTCAGCAGTAGAGCCCTTGCCTAGCACGTGTGAGGCCCTGGGTTCGATTCTCAGCACCACATTAAAATAAATAAATAAAATAAAGTTAAAAAAAAAGTGATACGGGAGTGGGGGATGTTGTTGAGGAAAAAGGATAGCAAGTTCAAGGCCAGTCTTGGCAACTTAGTGAGACCCTATATTAAAATACAAAGTAAAGGAAGGGCTGGGGATGTCGGTCAGTGGTAGAGTGCCCCTGAGTTCAATCCCCAGTACTGGAGAAGAAGAAGAAGGAGAAGGAGAAAGAAGGAGGGGGAGGGGAGAGGGAGGGGGAGGGGAGGAAGGAGAAGAAGGAAGAGGAGGAGGAGAAGGAAGAGAAGGAAAGTGAAAAGAGTGTTTCTGAGGCAAAGCAGCTGCCATGTGATGGGGACACTGAAGTAGCACCATGGAGAAGTACAATGACAAGGACCTAGGTTTTCCTCTGCCAATGGCCAACTAGTCACGGAGGCCTACTGCCAACACCCAGCAAGGGAGTGATCTCAAAAACCCATCCTCATCACCAGTCAAGGCTTCAGATGACTATGGACCTGGTCAACACCTTGACCACAGCCCCATGAGGGATCCTGAGCCAGAGCCCCCAACTAAACTGCTTTCAGCTTCCTGGCCCCAGAAACTATGAGCGAGGGTAAACGTTTGCTTGGTTTGGGGAAATCTGAGCCGCAGCAGTCAACAACTAACACACACTTGCCTTTCAGGGAAATTGTAAGAGTGAAGAGTTAATATATGTCAAACTGCAACCACACCTGCTGGGACCGGTGGTTCCAGAAACGGCAGAAGGGAGCAGTAGAAGGAGGGAGCACGGGACGTGGAGCAGGTGGCTGGGTTCAAGCCAGGCAGGGTGCCCACTCCTGATGTGGAGGAGCCTGAGACACCAAATCTACAAACAGTGACCAGACCACATGTGAAAACAGAGCATGGACCAGGAACCTGCAATAAAAGTCTGGGAAGCCAAACAGCTACTAGTCCCAAATGGCTCGAACTTGGTCAATCATGGACAGCTTGCCTAATTTTGTCCCTAATTCCAAAATTAGCATAAATTGGAGAAAGCAAGTATGTTCCCCTAACCAATGTCATGGATGCCCCTCTTCTAGGGAGCCCCCTACAGCTTCCCCATGCCAACAGGCCCCAACCAGGGCATGCCTGAAGCTGTCTCTTTTTTCCTATTATAAAGCTTCCCACTTATCCACCGGCCTTTGAGTCTCTGCAAAACACAAGTGACAGTGGCTGACTCTTACAAGAGATTCTCAGCAAGCTCTGATTAAATTGCCTAGGCTTGTTCTCTGTGGCTAGTCTTCATTTACTCCCATAAACCCAAGTTCTCTCTCCCTTCCTGCTCCAGGTCAAAGACAACACCTCTCCCTTCCCCTGATCACCAGGTATCGAGAGAAACCAGTTCAGGGACAATGGAAGAAAGGGGAACAGCAATAATTAAGAGTGTAGCTTTGGAACAGGAGAGAGCTGAGGCTTACCTGGCTATGTGGTCCTGGGTAAGTCAACTAAACAACCTTAGCCCCTGATTCCTCATGTCAAGGGAACAGTCCGGCCGAAACTCAAACGCTGATTCAAGCATCCAGCGAGGTAATGTATTTAGTGTACTGACCATATAGTAGGAACTTAATAAAACAAAGACCAGCCATCACGTTCAGCTCCTCATGACTCACTGGAGTAGGTTGTCCCCTTACCATACCCTAGTCACCCTTCCCTGCTCCCTTTCTTTGCAGCAGGGAGCCAGACTTCAGGGTACATAAAGGTCAGGATCTGTTCTCAGCAGTGAGATGAGCAAAGGACATAGCCCAGCATTTCTCTAAGAAAAAAAATCCAACTGGCCAAAAGGCCAGATACCTGCTGCACCAAACAGTATGCACCAACACCGCACCCCCCCACCCTTCGAATATATGTATACAGACCCTCACAATAGAAAAGGCCTGAAGAGTTTGTACCAAGGTGACATCGACCCTCGTTGGATGGTAAGATTATAAGGTTTTAGATTTTTTTTTTCATTTTGCTAATCCATGCGTTATGACCGGTCTACAATGACTACATTTTTGTAAAAAGAAAAACTCCAGTAGCTTATTTTTAATTTAAAAAATTAAACGGGGCAGGGTAGGGGAGATGTAGGAAAGGAAGCAGGGTACACTCCTCAATGCAACACTTCTTCAGTCCGGGAAAAGCTGGGAGGTTCCCGCAGAGGCGATGCGGAACTGCCAGAGGCCTACCCTGGTTTAAAGAAAAAGATAAGACGAGATTTAGGGCAGACTCCAGAAGAACTCGACCGCTAAGAGCACCAAATCCTGGAATAAGCACCTTGGGGAGATATTCTAGCCCAGAGGCGGTCAACCTTCGCTGGCCCTAGGACTGGGGACTGCCGCGGGATCCCAGCCCCCAGCAGCGGTGGGACTCCGGAGGCTGAGCCCTCGCCTGGATTCCCGCCCTCTAGACGCCCGGCGGGGCGGGGCGGGGCGGGGCCGTTGGAGGGGAGGGGCGGCCGGGCCGCTGGGAGCTCCACCGACCACCGCTACGCTCTCGGTTCTCCGGCTCCCGCTCCCGCGCCGCCTGTTGCTCCCTCCCTGTGCCGCTTCCTGCCCGGTGCCCAGCGGTAGGCGGCCCGAGAGGGTGCCATCGCGTGGGCAGCCCTCTTCCTCCCCCACCCCGCGCCTGAGCGTCCCGGAGAGCGCGAACAGAGCCAGCCTCCCGGTGCACCCCGGACCGCGCGCCAAGACCCCGGGCGCAGCACCGCGATGAACGCGACTTTCCTGAACCACACCAGCTTGGATGAGGTGGGCGGAGTGGGCAGCGGCGCCGGGGCGGCCCTGGGGAACCGCAGTCACGGGCTGGGCACGTGGCTAGACTGCTGCTCCGGGGGCGCGCCGCTGGCCGCCAGCGACGGGGTCCCGGCGGGACTGGCTCCAGACGAACGCAGCCTGTGGGTGTCGCGCGTGGCGCAGATCGCCGTGGTATGCGTGCTGTCCCTCACCGTGGTCTTCGGCGTTTTCTTCCTGGGCTGCAACCTGCTCATCAAGTCCGAAGGCATGATCAACTTTCTGGTGCAAGAGCGGCGGCCCTCCAAGGACGTGGGCGCCGCCATCCTGGGGCTGTATTGAGCACCACGCCTGCCGCCTTCGACAGAGCTGCTGCGAAAAGGGAGACCGGGACCCCCGTCCCCCTCTCCGCTCGGCCGCCGCCGCAGCGCCGGGACAGCAACATGCCTCCGGGCACCAGTGCCTGGACACCGCGGGACTCGCGGCGGCGGCGCGGAAAGGGACTTCCACGCTCTGCACGGTCCTGTGCGCTTCAGCGGGGGGATAAGGTTTCTTAACAGACTTTTTTTTTTTTTTTTAAGAAGTTCGGGGCTGGGTGGACTTGAATGTGGGATGCATTGTGGGGCTGAGGTCGCTCGCGTGGGAGTTTTGTGCGTGTTAATGGGGGACAGGACACGGGCGGCGCAGGGGAGAGGTTGAAGAATGGGAGTCTCCGAGCTTGTTGGTCTGATTTTGCATTTGAAAAGAAATTTTTGTAATAAAACCCCAGCCGTCGTACATCCTGCGACTTCCCACTGGCGCCTGTGGGTGTGTGTGTTGGGGGTTGGAATGTGCGGGGTGGAGGGAGGCATGTACCCTAGTGGGGAGCCCTTTAAGCCCGTCCAGAAAAAATATAGCTCCTTTGAGGGCTTCCTGGGGTGCGGTGCGAGCAGATACAGGGCTCCACACCGGAGACCAAGCCACGAAAGGATAAAGGAACTTTTTTCTACAATGACAGCGGAGGCGGGTCCTTTTGGGCGGCCTGACAGTTGGTGCGATTAATTAAATCTTTGGAAATCTGAGTCTCTTCCGTGAGACTGGATGTGGGGAGGGGATCAGTGAACTGAGTCCAAAAAGAGGAAAACAGGATATTAGGAGAATGAAAAAAGTAGAATTCACTTGCGCGGGTGAGAGAGTGGGGAAACTAGAGCTACTTAAAATTTTAGTAAGACCCAAATCCCCATCTAAGGTCTTGTTTTGCCTACACCCTTATGGAGGGTAGATGAGTTGCCCTCAAAGAAGACTCCTTGTTGCTTCCGGGAGGGGGAAGGGGACCCATCATATTTAAAATGAGAAAATGGCCTCCAACTGCAGTCCTCTTTGGAGGAATTAGAACCACCCATTATGAGATGCCCCAGCTGACCCCAAAACCCAGTGCCTCCTGGAGATGCCAGCTTCTCTAAGATCTGTATTAAGCAGTAAGAACCTTGGTGTTCACTGGTCAACAGGAGGGGACAGACAGTTCTGTGATCTGCAAGTGTTTGATCTGGGGGGGCAGCTGAAATTGGGGAGACTAGAGGGACTTTGGGGCCTCTGCATATCCCCTTGGCCCAGTGCTGGCCCCACTCAGAACCCCTGTACTTGGGGAGATTTGGGCAGGGAAGGCTCTGATGGATTTCTTCCGCACTCCTCTTTTGCCAGGAATGGAAATGAAGAATGAGAAAGAAGATGGCTGACGCCTTCACTGGCTTTGGGACAAGAAGCATAGGGAACCTTCTCCTGTCTCCTCCTAAGGGAGGAGGTGGTAGGGGAAGTATCTCAACAAAAGCATAGACAGTCATTGACTAAAGGACCTGGAATTTTTGTGGCTCCTGCCATCAGAATTATCAATATTGTGGAGCATTTCTTTCCCCTTTGTCCTGTTGCCCCAATCTCGGGCTTACAGTTTTATTCAGTGGGCCAGGGCAGGCCAGTGAGGCCAGGGGCCAAACACTCCTTGTTAAGTATCTGAGACAAATCCTCCAGGTAAAAGAATGTTCTATGATGATTTGGTGTGACTCACAGGTAGCCAACCTGATGGAGGGTGCAACCCTTGATGATTTAGGCAACTGGGACACCAGGCTCCAAGTAGTACAGGTGCCTGGAGCCTGGCCACCCAGTGACCTGACCTGGAGAACGCTGCTCAGACAGCTTCAGGCAGTCATGTATAGCCCCAAAGACTGGAAAATGAGTTTCATGAGGAATAAGGGCTTCTCTTTTCTGCCTGACACGTTAGAATGAACACTACCAGATCTTTCCTCTCATAAAATGGTCTTCTAGTAAATGTGGCTGGGGACGGAGGCAGGAGTGGGGGTGATTCAAGAGTTAAATTTCCTATACAGGAAAAATTAAAAAACACAGTGAAGACATCTGTACAGTACCATGTGTGTTTGACACCCCCCATCATGTGATGTCCACTAGTGGATATGTGCATGGGTGTGGAACACAAGGGCAGTGCTCATACCTCAAGAAGGAGCAAGGTCCTGGAGAGGGGTGGAGAGTGAGGGATCACACATGTAGTCTTTTTTTGTTTTCCCGGAGCCCTAAAGGCCTGCGGAATGTGCTGAGCTGCCTATCTGAACCTCAGGCAGGGGTGGGAACACTGAGTTATGAAAGAGAGGAAAACAAAAGGCACACAGCTTCAGAGAAGGGCCACAATGGATCAGAATCCTGAGACTTGGGTGCTGTGAAGAATGGAGGAGGGGGCCTCATCTCAAGAATCCCCCCTCCCACTCTCAATCTTTAGGTAACAAAGCCCTTCCTAAGAGGCCTGCCCAGGATGCAGGGGCCAAATTTCAGAGGGTCCTGGATTCAGGAGAGAAGCCTTGGACTTGTCTGTGAAATCCTGGCTGTTCTTCCTCCTAGCTCCATGGTTTGGAAAAAGCTCAACCTCTCTGTGCCTCAGTTTCCTCATCTATGAAATGGGAGCAATAAGGTCTATAGCTCCCATGATAGATGTGTAAAATAGGCATAGGGCCTGGCATTTCATAGACACCCACTAACGATAATTATGATTATTGTTAGTTTTGTGTATTACACAAACTCTCAGCCAATAAAATAGAGTTGGTTCTCTGAAATGGGATCCCTGGATAGAAAAAGAGTAATTCATATTTGCAAGGCATTTTGTAGTTTTAAAGCACTTTAGTAAGCAGAGTGGAAATAATGTGTTGAATACCCAATATGCCAAACAGAGCTCCCATCCCATGAGGAGAGTTGTATTACTACCTCCATTTTATAGATAAGGAAACTGAGGCCCAAAAAGTTTGCCTGAGGTTAGGGAGTTAATAAGAGGAGCAGATATTCTCCTAGTTTCCTGTTTATAAAAGAGGAAGCAGTTACAGTTTAATGGAATTGCCCAAGTTTATCCAGTGTCAACTTCGGTTCTGTTGTGGGCTGGGTACTGTGTGGGGTGAGCAAGAAACTAATCCCAGCCTGCAGCTGCTGAAGCTCCAGGCACTAGCGCTGGGTTGAGGGTAGCTGGTTCCATCCATCTCAGAGACCAGTTTAAGCCTTCCATGTTACATCGTCTGAGTCAGGGGTGTACTTCTAGGGTCTGATGTACCCCGCCAGCAAGATGTGCTCTGGAATGGGAACGATAGAGGGCTTACATCACTATGCTGCTTACTTTCCCACTGGCTTGTCCAAGCCAAGTTCACACAGAGGGTGCATGGCTGTGGCTGCTGAGAGTCCCCCACCCCCAAAACCTAACTGGGCAGCAGAACAAGAACAGTTTTTATAAAAGCTTGATAAAAGCTTTTGATAATGCAATGAATTAAGTAGAAAAAAATGTTTTAAAGGATAGATGCATTTCTGTCTCTATCCATGTGAGTTTCAAGGTCAGAAAAGGATGTAGTTCGTTAGGCCAGAGAAATGTGAGATGCTCAATCACAGAGTCCCTAATCCAGCATGAGAGAGAGCCATGATGTGCCAGGTCGTTGAATGCCAGCTCAGAAGAGACTGCAAAAACCACAGAGGTCATCCTCAGAATAGTTTTGCTTTTAAAATTATTAATCCTTATAGTAACAAAGAAAGAAAAACAGGCAAAAAGCCACAATCTTTCAACTGAGGAAGAATCACCATGAATCCTTTGGCATTTATCTTTTCATATGTTTAGGGATTGATAAGAGTTAAAATTGAGATTATTTTTCTCCAAAAAATGTTACAGTATATGCTCTGTTTTGAACATATATTGTGAGATTATTTTTTCACTTGATAATAAATGGTGATGAAGTTTCATGTCAGAAACTAAGAGCCATATACACCATCATTTTAAGGGATGTACACTTTTCTTTTGTGCACATATCATACTTTAACTAACTGATCCCCTATTATTGGGCATTATGTTGTCTCCAGGTCTCTGAGCCTCTCTCCAGGTGAGTGGAATGGCTCTAGCACGTGCTCCTGCCTTACAGATGAACTCTGATGAAAAAGCTTAGCTTATGACTCATGGTAACAGGAGTCCTCGTGTCCCAGCTTCTCTCCCCCTGTGGTCTTGGGATCATTTTTGAGAAAGCATCTTCATGCTCCAGGATGGAAGCTGTAACCATTTAATAGAAGTGATGGGAGATGAGGAGTGGGCAAGGTGGGGAGCAACCAGTATTTACTGACTTTCACCTTGAGACCAACACTTTACAGCTGCTCGTTATTTAATTCTCACAGCAACCCTAAATATTGGGGTTCTTAGATGAGACCATGGAAGCTCAGAGAGGTCAGTTACAGCCAGACAATGGCAGCCTAGAATCTGTTTCCCCATGTGTCTGCTTCTGCCATGTGCAATCACTAGGGTGCTTGGGACAGGGGTGGGGTTAGAGAAAGAGCTGGCCAAGCGAGAATGCGAAAGGGTTAGGAAAGGTAACAAGTATCTTTCTTATATTGGGAAAGGAGGCCAGGCCTCATGCCCACAAGCTCAAGTTCTTAGGTCAAACCTGGAAGACCTCATAGAATAGGGCCCATCTTTATCTTTCGCAATCATTTGCCACCACGTCTCTTTAACTATTTTTTGTCCCATAAACAATTCCATTTTAAGGCATTATTTACTCTCCTTTTCATAGAATGGAATTGTTTGCTATCAACAACTGCCAAACTAAGCTTCTCGTCATCAGGACAGAGCCTGGTAATAGCCCAAAGCAGGGGAAGCTGACACTTCTGACAGCATCTCTGGCACAGGAAAGCAGCTGTGGCCCTGCTGCGGGATGGGGCTTGTTGGGGTCAGGGGAGTCCCCAAGTAGCTTGCTTACTTGAAATAGAGGAAATTGAAGCCCGTGACGGGAGGTGGTGGAATCAATATTAGAACAGTGGCTACCTTCTTTATGGACATCCTTGCCACCTAGCCTGCCAGCTCCAAGGGTCCCAAACTGGGATGTAGTGGATAAGAGAAGCAGGAGGGGCACCCCTGGGGTGCGGCTGAGGTTGTAGTCTGAAGGACCAGCTTTCTGTCTCTTTGCCCTGGCACCTCTCACTGGCACAGTCAACACAGAGCCTTTGCCGTGGAACAGGGAGCTAGGGAGATCACGGGAAGGGAGAAATGATTTGTGCCCATGGTAAGCTTACGATGCGTTGAGCTGTAATAATTAGGAGAGGTTTGCAATAACAATGCAGAACCTTTTTCCATGCCCTGGGCCCTGTCCATTCTAGAATGCGCCTTGTTATGCTCCTGGGTACAGACCTAGATAATGAGATACTTCACTTCAAAAACATGATTTTATATTAAATTTGGGGGATGTACATATGGACAGCCACGTGTGCACATACCAGAGGGT